CTGGAACCTTCCCCAATGTTATGGCCGATTGATGTATGTGGCAATATAGACACGGCAGAGATCTTTGCCTATAATTATTACCTGGGGTGAGCAGAGTATCGCTGAACTACATGCTGTAATTATAGTTTGCAAAATAATTTAGACCTGTAAACTCCATATATCTGGTTATATCTGAGCCCTGAGGGCCAACACTGAGGAGCAGCAATGCCAAACACAGAGCCTGTGCTTCTCCATCAACAGACACGATATATCAGTCTATGCTCCCCCCGTCTCTGTGATTTGTATCTCTGTGATAATCAGTCTATGCTCCCCCGTCTCTGTGATTCGGATATATCAGTCTATCCCCCCGTCTCTGTGATTGGGTCTATGCTCCCCCCGTCTCTGTGATTCGGGAGAATATCAGTCTATGCTCCCCCCGTGTCTCTGTGATTCGGAGATAATATCAGTCTACGCTCCCCCCGTCTCTGTGATTCGGATAATATCAGTCTACGCTCCCCCCGTCTCTGTGATTCGGAGAATATCAGTCTACGCTCCCCCGTCTCTGTGATTCGGATAATATCAGTCTACGCTCCCCCGGTCTCTGTGATTCGGATATATCAGTCTACGCTCCCCCCCGTCTCTGTGATTCGGATATCAGTCTAATGCTCCCCCCGTCTCTGTGATTCGGATATCAGTCTACGCTCCCCCCTTCTCTGTGATTCGGATATCAGTCTATGCTCCCCGTCTCTGTGATTCGGATATAGCAGTCTATGCTCCCCCCGTCTCTGTGATTCGGATATCAGTCTATGCTCCCCCCGTCTCTGTGATTCGGATATCAGTCTATGCTCCCCCCGTCTCTGTGATTCGGATATCAGTCTATGCTCCCCCCCCCTCTCTGTGATTCGGATATCAGTCTATGCACCCCCCTCTGTGATTCGGATATCAGTCTATGCTCCCCGTCTCTGTGATTCGGATATCAGTCTATCAGTCTACATTATCTCCCCCCCGTCTCTGTGATTCGGATATATCAGTCTATGCTCCCCCCCGTCTCTGTGATTCGGATATCAGTCTATGCTCCCCCTGTCTCTGTGATTCGGATATCAGTCTATGCTCCCCCCCGTGTCTCTGTGATTCGGATATCAGTCTATGCTCCCCCTGTCTCTGTGATTCGGATATCAGTCTATGCTCCCCCCGTCTCTGTGATTCGGATATCAGTCTATCTCTGTGTTCTATGCTCCCCGTCTCTGTGATTCGGATATTATCAGTCTATGCTCCCCCGTCTCTGTGATTCGGATATCAGTCTATGCTCCCCCCGTCTCTGTGATTCGGATATCAGTCTATGCTCCCCCCGTCTCTGTACATAATGAAACCAGCCAGCCGGGTCCAGAATTTGTCATATTCAGTGCACTTTGCCTTGTGAAGCAGCCGGCTGGCTCCAGTCATTGCATTCTCTCTCTTCCAGCACTGGAGGGAATGCAGGCCAATTCCCATCACCTAACAGACGTTGTCAGGCTGATGAGAGAAGAACAATGAGCAGCTTGTTCTCTGCCCTTGAGAACTGGACATTTGGGGGGGGTTGGAGGGTGTAAAGGGGGGAACCTGTAGCCGCACGCAGAACATCCAATGGGTCATTAGTGGAAAATTCTCAGTCATTTTATATACTAAGGGCTTGTTTATTATTGATACCGCTGCTCTGCAAAGTGCTTTGTGGTGGATCACTTTTCAGAGGATATTTGACAGACCGTGAGAAGGCGATATTTTAGCTCCTTACCACCTGTTTTAACCCTCAGAATGGTGACCCATTGCATACAGCTGCAGTGCAGCCCCATTCACCTGGCTCAACCATCTGCTTTTACTGTCCCCTAGGCATCTGTGTGAACGGGCCCTAACAAAAAACCTGTTTTTAATTGAAATTGATAAAAAGGAATCCATACATGTACAGAATCCTCAGTCTGAGCGTCTAATGGGAACGACGACAATGGTGATTGGTAGCGGGGAGGGGAAGGAGGTTTTTCATACTTCAGTTATTAGCTGGCCAGGGTTGGGGGCTGGTGCATCAAAGCGTCAGGCCACCCAATTCCGACCTGCTATGGGGGTAAACCTGCGGGTTTCTAACTGGCATTTAGGGAGAGCACACAGTGGGTGGCCAAGGAAGGATTTGGGGGGGGGGGGGGGAGGTGTTGGGGTTCAGTGCACTACGGATAGCCATATAGGGCAGTCAGCACACTGTGGGTAGCCAAGAGAGAAAGGGGGGGAGGTGCACTATGGGGTAGCAAGGGTGGAGGCAGTGCATTGTGGGTAACCATATAAAAGATGGGGCAGCACACGGGGCTTGAGGAGAGCGGGGGGGCAGTGCACTCTGAGCGGGGGGGGCAGTGCACTGTGAGCAGAGCAGCCAGGAGCGGGGGGGGGGGGGGGCTGGGGGTGTAGTGCACGGTGACACGGTGAGCAGCCAGGAGCGGGGGGGTAGTGCACGGTGACACAGTGAGCACGCCAGGTGCTGGGGGGGGGGGGGGCAGTGCATGGTGAGCAGCCAGGAACGCGGTGACCACGGGGGGCAGTGCGCACGGTGAGCAGCCAGGAGCGGGGGGGGGGTGGCAATGCACGGTGAGCAGCCAGGAGCGGGGGGGGGGATGGGGGTAGTGCACGGTGACACATTGAGCAGCCAGGAGCTGGGGGGGGGGCAGTGCACGGTGAGCAGCCAGGAGCGGGGGGGGGGGGGGGGTCGGCATATGCACGGTGAGCAGCCAGAAGCGGGGGGGGGCATTGCGCACGGTGAGCAGCCAGGAGGGCGGGGAGGGGGGATTGCATGGTGAGCAGCCAGGAGCGGGGGGGGGGGGGGGGGGGGGGGGGGGGCAGTGCACTAAGCAGCCAGGGGGGGGGGGGGGGCAATGCACGGTGAGCAGCCAGGAGCGGGGGGGGGTGTAGGGGGGCAGTGCACTGAGCAGCCAGGAGCAGGGGGGGGGGCAGTGCGCTGTGAGCAGCCAGGAGCAGGGGGGGGGCAGTGCAGCACAAGTAGCCAGGAGCGTGGGGGGGGCAGCACAATCTTGCCTCGCATGAACTGAAAGACTCCTAAGAATGACCTACATCCTCAGCATTTCAGACTGACATTTTAAAGTGACTTGTTAAAAAAAGAATTGTAAAGTGAAGGAAATGCACCTCTGCTAAGAAGTTCCATTCCCTCAGCCACCCATGTGTGAAGAAACTTCAGAAACTGACACGTTCGGGAGCTCCGATCCTCTGGTCCCCGCTGCGTTCAGTGGTTGCTTCTTCTGGCCCTGCACCTTTACAGGAAGCAGGGGTCAACGGATTAAACCAATGAACACAGCAGGGGACTAAGAATGCAAAACACCCAGAAGTGTTGGATTCTGAAGCTGCTTAAAGGTGTAATTCTCAGGAGATACAATTGTACATTTTAACTTCAAAGACAGTTGCCTGAAAGCTGAACCCCAGGATAATGAAATGTTCTCTACATACATTTGTCATGTGTATTCTTCCTTTCATCCTGGTGTGCAGATCTGTGCAGTAATCCATTGTGAGACTTTTACTTCCTAGAATAAAGACTGCTCACTGCTGCCCTCTCTACTCGTGCAGGGTGACTGACCTTGTCTCCGCCCCTCCTGTAGTTTTCTGTAGTGGGTGGAACCTTCTGGGCCCCTCCCACAGCTCTGTTCTCTGCACATTCTATGTACAACACAGTGACAAGGTCATGGCTACTTTTACAAGGTAATATCTGGGTTTGCAAAGACATTTTGGTGCACACAAGTGGAGTTAAATTATCCCTGGCTATTGAGGGATATATTGAAATGAAAGTTTTGGTGCCCGGAGTTCTGCTTTAACTGCTTGCCCGCCACCCTATAGTAGAAGTACTGCTACAGGGTGGCAGGGGCTGCGCAAAATCACTTATATATACACACACGTGATTTGCATGTTCGGTGGGGGGCGTGCGTGCTGCCCTACCCACGCTGCCAATCACTGAGTCCCAGCCGGAGATTCCTTGCCGGCACCTGGTGATAGTCGGGGAAAGCTAACAGGGGAGAGACCTGTGTGTAGAGAACACAGGTCTCTCTCCTGCGAGCAAAGACATGCTGCTTTGTATTTCTCTGCACAGACGAAAAATACAAAGCAGCATGTCTCCCTAGTAAAAACACATACAGCACAGTTAACCCTTTGATCGCCCCAGATGTGAACCCCTTCCTGCCCAACGTCAGTGCTTTTTAGTACACGGATTACTATATTAGTGTCACTGGGGATGTCAGTGGCAGTTAGTTCCCCCCAGGGGCGGACTGACCATTTGGAAACTCAGGCACTGCCCGAGGGCCCGGGGTCAGTAGGGGGCCCCATGAGATGCCCCTGGTACCTTTTTCATAGGTTTTTTTGAGTTTGGGCAAGGACACAGGGGCCCATGATCCCCTATTGCTCAGGGGCCACATGAGTTGTCAGTCCGCCCCTGGTTCCCTCCCCAGTGTCAGAATGCCCACACAGTCCCGCTATAAGTCGCTGATCGCCGCCATTACTAGTATAAAATAAATAAAAAAATCTGTTATCTATACGCGCCATTTGTAGACGCTATAACGTTCATGTAAACCAATTCATTTCCACGTATCGGGATTTTTTTTTTTAGCAAAGGCATGGAGCAGAATACATTTTGGCCTAAAATTATGATGAAATTTGATTTTTAATTTTTTTTTACTGGACATATTTAATAGCAAAAAGTAAAAAATATAGTTTTTTTTCAAAATGGTCGGATCTTTTTTGTTTATAGCGCAAAAAATGTTAAAAAAAAAACGCAGAGGTGATCAAATACCACTGAAAGAAAGCTCTATTTGTGGTGAAAAAAAAAAAAAGGACATACATTTAATTTGGGTGCAAAGTTGCATGACCGCGCAATTGTCAGTTAAAGTAACGCAGCGCCGTAACGCAAAAAAAATGGCCTGGTCTGGAAGGGGGGTAAATTCTCTGGAGGGGGAAGGGTTAATGAGGGATAGGAATCATTTTGTAGAACTCTCAGGTGGTCTTACCTGCACATCCCGCAGAACACATGTGCACGAGGTTACTGTTAGGAACAAATATTGCATTGAACTGCTCCTTGGCTTTTGAGTACGATGCAAAGTAGACGGCCCTGAGGAGGAGAGACAAGCAGCCATTAATGTAAGCCAGGGACTGTGTACAAACACGCCGCAGATATCTGCTCGGCAGCCAGACGGGACCAACGCCAAAAATCAGACGCGGCCAAGTTCCAGCAAACCGACTTCCTCCTCTGTTATCAAAAAACTAAAAATAATGGCGAGCAGTGACGTGCTCCAACCGCCCCATGGCTGCGCTGTCTACTGAAAGGAGTCTGATTGGTCAATGTGGGTTACAACATAGTGTAGTCATAGGCTGCTAAATAGCATAGCCTGTTGTGATTGGGCTGTGTAAAGCTGGCCGCACACATTTAAGTGTTACTAAACCCCGGACCCCGCGTCCCTGTATCCGCTCTCCCGGACCCCGCGGTCCCTGTATCCGCTCTCCCCGGACCCCGCGGTCCCTGTATCCGCTCTCCCCGGACCCCGCGGTCCCTGTATCCGCTCTCCCCGGACCCCCGCGGTCCCTGTATCCGCTCTCCCGGACCCCGCGGTCCCTGTATCCGCTCTCCCCGGACCCCGCCACTCACTGTATCCGCTCTCCCCGGACCCCGCCACTCACTGTATCCGCTCTCCCCGGACCCCGCCACTCACTGTATCCGCTCTCCCCGGACCCCCCGCCCCCGCCACTCACTGTATCCGCTCTCCCCGGACCCCGCCACTGTACTGTATCCGCTCTCCCCCGGACCCCGCCACTCACTGTATCCGCTCTCCCCCCGCCACCCCGCCACTCACTGTATCCGCTCTCCCCGGACCCCGCCACTCACTGTATCCGCTCTCCCCGGACCCCGCCACTCACTGTATCCCGCTCTCCCCCGGACCCCGCATTCACTATATCCGCTCTCCCCGGACCCCGCCACTCACTATATCCGCTCTCCCCCGGACCCCGCATTCACTATATCTGCTCTCCCAGGACCCGGACCCCGCATTCACTATATCCGGTCTCCCCGGACCCTGCACTCACTATATCCGGTCTCCCCGGACCCGGCATTCACTATATCTGGTCTCCCCGGACCCTGCATTCACTATATCCGCTCTCCCCCCGGACCCTGCATTCACTATATCTGCTCTCCCTGGACCTTGCATTCACTACATCCACTCTCCCCCCCGGACCCTGCATTCACTATATCCGCTCTCCCGGGACCCTGCATTCACTGTATCTGGTCTCCCACAGTACACAGAACATGGAAGTGCAATTAATTTAGTAAATATAAACTGCTAAATACCTTTTCTCATCAACAGTATATAGCAGTCTTGTGACTTCTATCAGTGTCCAGCAGAGCACTGGTTAAAGCTTGTAGGAGTTTTCTTTCTGCTCTAGGAGGATGCAAAACCCCTGACCCTCTGTCTGGACAGCGCTGATTGGCCCTGTGCTGATCACATGCACCCTCTCAAGTAAAAAAAAAGCCTCTCTAGCAATACACACTAAACTGAGCATGTGCAGAGTGTCTCCTAGAGCTCTGTACTATCATCAGATATATTGGGGACAGTAGAAGGAAGGGGGGGGGGGATCAGAGAAGACAGGATCAAAACAACCTTTTTACACAATGCAGAGGATTAACCCCTTAGGTTCCACAGTGAGTATAACAAGCATGCTTTACTGCATCTACAGACTGATTGTACTGTTGTGGGTTTAGTAACACTTTAAGTTTTGCTCTAAGTTAACAATCCGTTTGCCTTCATGTTGGAAGGATCTCAATGATGCAGCTTCCTGTTTTATGTAAACTGGAGAGGAAGAAAAAGTTAAAAGTAGCAAAATTAAGAGATGGCAGATGGATGTTTCCAGTGAGTGATTAGCGGACTTGCATGCAGTCATCCTTTTCTGGAAGAACACGGCAATCACTTTCACTGCATCAGCCATTCATTTACTTTCCCATAGGCCTCCCGGGGGAGAAGGAACTCATCCTGAATGGTAATGGTGTCAGAGTCCACAGCATGTTTGCTGCTACAGAGGAAACCACAGAGAGACCTGTAGAGTCATCCCCGGGTGATGGCCACACTTATCAGCCACTGATTCAAGGACCCAGCCGTCTGCTAACACAATTCATGGGAGGTCAAACCAATCCACAGGACAAAAACAACTCTAGGTTCAAAGTGTCAGTCATATCTGTCTCTGGTCATTCACCCAAAAACATTCCATTTTGTAAAGTTGTATGCTTTTTTAAAAAATGGTTGAGATAGAGATATATATATATATATATATATATATATATATATATATATATATATATATATATATATATATATACACACACACATATACACACACACACACACACACACACACACACATATATACACACACATATATATATATATACACACACACACACACACACACATACACATATATATATACACACACACACACACACACACACACACACACACACACACACACATATAGACACATATATACATACATACATACATACATACATACACACACATATATAAACTTGTCAGACGTGATTCATGCTGATAGAGGAATGAGGCAGCAGACAGAAATGACACTAAGGGCTCTTAATTGAGACAAGCACACACTATAGAGGGATATGCTTTGGTCAAATTTCATGTCTGAGGTTTACAACTATTTAAAAAGTGAACTTTGCCTTTAAAGCTAGAGGTGCAAAATCCTGCAAGGATGAGCTCTTGCCTCCTGCAGAAGTACATTTTCACGGATTTTGTGTGGCCAGCTTTCTACCAGTAGTGAGTATCGGTGATGTCACACGCGCCCTCCCTGAAGCATCTAAAGCCAGAGTCGAGTTTATAATTTTTTCGATAAAAACATTTTGTGACATCCCTTATAGAACTATTTGGATTGGGGGAAGGAGGATGCCAGTCATTTTCACAAAAGGCCCATTATAAGTCTTGGGTCACACCTATGCAGGTTGTGTTTGAGGTGTTTCTGCATTGCATTTTGCATTTGTTTTTTTCATTTTTCTTGTTGCTAGGCAGATTTTAAAGGCAAAACACATAAAAAAATGGCAAAAACGCAATACGTGCTTTTCTGCAGCGTTCCCATTGAAGTCTATAGAACCAAAAATACGTTTTGCATTAAAAAAAAAAAGTCCCTGACCCTTTCCAAAAAACACGGAAATGTGAACATGTCTCATAGGAAATCATGTTAAATGGCCTGTACTGTGTTTCTGCAAAACGCTGCAGAAAACGCTTGAACCTAGGGTAAGGACCGATTCATTGAAACCCTGGTCCTAACCTACAAAAAAGGTATGTATTGTACCCAAAAAAGGACAGAATCTCTGCTATGCATTATTTTTGGCTGAGTATCTGTCCCAGTTCTGCTTCCCAGCTCAGTCAGTGGCACATGGTTGGAATAGACCTGGTCTTTACCAGTAGGCACTGTAGGCCTCAGCCTATGGGCTCCAGAGGCCATGAGACAGCTCTTCCCTGCATAACTATTTGCCCCAAATGCTTTTCCCAATAATAGCAGACATACGGTCCTCTCATAAGCTTCTATATGCAAAGCAAGCAGACTAGGGATGAGTTTGGGTTCACCTGGGGTTTGCTCCAAATCCATGTTAGACTAAACCTGGAAGAATATGGTCACTGCCGGGCCAATTAGATGCAACCTAGGCATTCCCAGCCCTGCAGTTGCATATACACAAAGGGCCGGGGATGCTTCTGATATCCCTGACTCCAGTATGGCCACATCAGGCCAATGACCTATTATGACCATAATGGCCCAATGACATCATGAACCTCCGTTATTTTGTGTACATTAAGCTATGGGGTGGGGAATGACCAGGGGCGGACTGAGATTTGGAAACTCGGGCACTGCCCAGGGCCCGGGGTCAGTAGGGGGCCCCATGAGATGCCCCTGGTACCTTTTTCATAGGCTTTTTTGAGTTTGGCCAAGGACACAGGGGCCCCATGATCCTCTATTGCCCGAGGGCCCATGAGTTATCACTCCGCCCCTGGGAATGACACACATTGGATTTTCCCAGCAGTGAAAGATTCCTTTTGGGTTCGGACAAGCATGGCTTCAGTCCAGACCCAAGTTATCCCCACTTAGGACAAGCAGACCGGAAAATGTTCTCCATAGGAGGTTGGTGTTTGGGTACCAATGGGTCTGTGCCTACAAGCTACACTAAAGGCAACCTAGGCCTATGGGAAAAGATTCAACATATCATTCTGGTTGTGATAATATTGGATATATATCTGTTCTATGATCCTGTGTGCATATCTGGGTGTGAAAGAGAGCAAACAGGTGGCGCAAACATCTAGTGCATCCTCCAAGGTTGATTAAAAAGTAAAAAAGGCGAAAACATACTCACAAACATAGCATGTATGTAAAGCCTGGATGTAGGTCATGCTATAAATAGCTATGGCTGATGCTATTAATAGCAATGCTCATCCCCTTGGGCATGACCTACATCCAGGCTGGTCATAAGCTTTGCAGAAAGGGACTCGTCTCCGAAACGCGAAAACCGACCACACTGATAGTCGCACCTCCTGCCCATTGCTGTGGCCATCTCCATTGTCTTACAAAGCTTTACACTCATACGTTTTTCGTCTTTTTTACTTTTTAATAAACCTTGTATAATGTATTAGGTATTTGTGCCACCTGTTTGCTCTTTTCCAGTTGTTGATTTCCCCATCTGAGGAGGGCTGCATCTCCGAAACGCTATCCATAGGCCCCCATTTGTCCTGGTTCCCCTGGCCTTCCTTTGGCATTTGACTCCTGGAGTACTGGAGAGTAGACACTGTTGTCTGTGTTTAGTGGTTTCATATATTTGTGGGATTGTTTTACGGGATTCTTTATGTCCAACAGGAGATGGTTCAACCATGGAATTGGCTTTATCATTACCTGGAAGGAGCGACACCAACTAGGTTAGGACCCAGCCCCCGGAAAAGAGATTTTGGTCCTTCTTTTTCAAGGATGGATCTGTAAAGAAACAAGGATTGGATTAGATTTTAAAAAATGAAAGCCGTTCAACAGTTGTTTATGGCACATAAAGCATTAAAATGCCAACCATTTGAAAACAAAAAAAAAAAAAAAATCTAGACAGATGAATGGACATCTTTTAGTCTCCTCTGATTGGTTCATCCCTTCCATGCAAGTGTGCGGCTCTTGGGGTATAAATTTGGGATGATGAATTCATAGTGGATTTTTGGGCCAGGTAAAAGCTTTGAAGTGGTAGTAAAGTCCACTTTTTACATGTGCCTACAGGTTAGCCTATAATAAGGTACCAAGACTATCTCCTAAATGTGCATCGCTTAGGAGATAGTCACAATTCTTGCAGTCGGTGCCAGGGGCGGACTGACAACTCATGGGGCCCCCGGGCAATAGGGCAAATTGCCCAAACTCAAAAAAACCTATGAAAAAAAGTACCAGAGGCATCTCAGGGGGCCCCCTACTGACCCCGGGCCCTTGGGCAGTGCCCAAGTTTCCAAGAAATGGTCAGTCCGCCCCTGGTCGGTGCTGTCACCGGAGCATGCACCCTGCACTGTGAAAGGATGGCACAGTGAGTGCTCCATCCATGCATAGCGCTGTGCCATGATCATGATTCCTGTGCGCATGCATGGGAGTGACTTCATTGCAGCTTGGCCATTCAAAACGGACAAAGTCCACCAACCCAGCAGGAAGACCGCGTGAAGATGGAAGCCCTGGTAGCAGTGACAGCGCGCTGCTGGAGGGATCCATTCTGCCGTACATATTAGCACATTAACACTGACTTGCAGGAGGCCATATCTTTTTTCTAAGGCAAACTTTACTAACGCTTTAAAGCCCAATTCCAATGAAAAATCCACGCTTGCAGGCCCCTCTTCCCCCACAAGGGTTAATTGCATGTTACAATTTCAGAACAGATTGTCATACTCAATTTATACCGGCGTACGGGGCGAACAATCTAAGGTCCCTAACTCACATTCACACACACACCTACTAGGGACAATTTAGACAGGATCCAATTAGCCTACCAGCATGTCTTTGGATTGTGGGAGGAAACCAGAGTACCCAGAGAAAACCCACGCAGGCACAGGGAGAACATGCAAACTCCAGGCAGGTGGTGCCATGATTGGGATTCGAACCAACGACCCTAGTACTGCCAGGCAGAAGTGCTAACCACTTAGCCACTGTGCTGCCCTATGTATAAATGGATAGGTTAAGGGCAGGTGTGCCTGGAGAAGCCCAGGGACACACGTGACAAAATGTACGGCTCCGATCGCACCGCACACAAATCGCATGCGATTCGCACAGGAATGCGGTGCGGTTCCTGTGAGAATCACATACGATATACCGCACCGCATGTATGTGAACCCAGGCTTTGGGTAGGTAGCTCTTACATTACTGCAATCTTTTGAAAACAACAGACAGTTGGAAACAAATTTTCACTTCTGTCCCAAACTCCTCCAGCAGTGCTTACAGGTGCCTCCGTTTTAGACCAGTGACAGGTTGCAGGGGATTCTGGGTAATTAGCAGTGGCGTGCCACACACCTTAGTAATTAGAAGTCCCATACAAGCAGAGATGAATTGCTATACAACAGACCTTTATGTGTTCAGAGCTACGCCTTCAGTTACAGGAGGAGAAAAAAAATGACCTTTCAGATACTTTCTATCGTAAAACGACGTCTGCGGTACTGAACTCAGGACAAACCGGAATCAGCCGGTCCCAGTGAGTCAGCAAAAAAAACAAACATTCTATAAAAGGCCATTCAAGGGCTCTACAAAACAAAAACACTTCATACACACAAACATTTTTTTCACCTTGCATACCTTAAAGGGGTTCGAAAGTTAAAAGGTTTTTTTTTTACCTTAATGCATTCTATCCATTAAGGTAGTGGTCTCCAAACTGGGGGCCGGATGTGGCCCTTTGCTTGCCCTTATCTGGCCCTTGGGGAACTATTCCCCCCTATTGACACCATCAATGGGGCACTATTCATGTTATTGATATCAACAATGGGGCACCAGTTCTCCCAATAAAACCAATGATGGGATTGATATCAACAATGGGGCACCATTTCTCCCATTAAAACCAATGATGGGATTGATATCAACAATGGGGCGCCATTTTCTCCAATTAAAACCAAACATGGGATTGATATCAACAATGGGGCACCATTTCTCCCATTAAAACCAATGATGGGATTGATATCAACAATGGGGCACCATTTCACCCAATAAAACCAATGATGGGATTGATATCAACAATGGGGCACCATTTCTCCCATTAAAACCAATAATGGGATTGATTATGAACAATGGGGCACCATTTCTCCCATTTAAAACCAATGATGGGATTGATAATCAACAATGGGGCACCATTTCTCCCAATAGAATCAATGATGGGATTGATATCAACAATGGGACACTATCAATCCCATCATTGGTTTTAAATGAGAGAAATGGTGTCCCATTGTTGATATCAATCCCATCATTGGTTTTAAATGGGAGAAATGATCAACAATGGGGCATCATTTCTCCCATTAAAACCAATGACGTTGGGGCACTTTCTACTCCCATTGGCCACAGTCTAGCCCCCCAAAGCCTGAAGGACAGTAAACTGGCCCTTTGCTTTGAAAGTTTGGACCCTTGCATTAAGGTAAAAAACCTTCTGTGTTAAGCCCCCCCCCCCCCCCCCCCCACCGATCTCGATCCATTGCTGTGCTTGAGAGCAGTGTTCCCCTCTGCTCTCTCCCTTGTCATTGGCTCAGATCTGCTCTCTCTCCCTCCTCACTGGCTCACAGACAGCAATGGAAGCCACTGGCTTCAGCTGCTGCTGTCAATCACAGTCAGCTAGAATTGATCGGAGGGGGGCGGTCACTGAGCCACCTTGTGTGTCAATAGAAACACAGAGCACAACTTAGGATCAAGCCTGCACGAAATGTGTCAGGAGCACTGGCGGGGGACCCCAGAAGAGGAGGATAGGGGCTGCGTTGTGTAAAACTACTGTGCAGAGCAGATACCTTTTTTTTTCATTTTAGTAATTTATCCTTTAGAATCACTTTAAAGCTGTATACCAGGAAGGCAGCCAAATACACATTTGAAATGTTTCCATTTATGAACAGTTCAACCTGCCAAAAGATTGGTAATTCTGTACAGCCAGTTCTGTGATCCAGGCACCCCTGCTAATAACTCAGCATTAACTGGAGGAGTACAACTTGGGCACACCCACTCTGCTGCTGACTGGGCTGCGAAAGAGTAGCAGTATGCGAATGAGTTTCTTCCTCTGCTCTCTCCTCTTGCCAGCAGATGTGCACTGCAGCAGAACCTGATTGGCTCCCAGTGCGGCAAAGGATTACAGAAGGAGTCCATCAAGGCGAAGTCAGGTACTTCCATTAGCTACTTTAAGAAATACATTTAGGGGCTGTTCACACTTGCAGCTGGAGGGGGGGGGGGGTAAAAAAAATGTGCAGATGACCCCCCTTAACCTGGCACAGTGGCTGGATTGGTTATACACATGCTATGGCTACAATGCTTTGCTTCATGGGCTGCGGGATGAAGCAGCTTGCGGCCAGTGGGGGGGGGGGAGGGCTGTTAGGTGGTACAAATTGGACAGATGACCCCCAACTCTGTACACATGCCATGGCTGCAATGGCTGTGGCAACAATTCTACCCTGAAACCACCCATTCAAGTGAATGGAGCCACACTGCCATGCAACCATGTACAATGCACACAGTTGCCACACTTGTGTAGGCTTTTAAGGGTTAAAACAGGTGTTGAGCAGGCGATACCCACAGCTATCGGAGGAGGAAGAGGAAGAGGAGGAGGTGGAGGAGGAAGAAGAAGAAGGAGGAAGAGGAAGAGGTGGAGGAGGAAGAGGAAGAGGTGGAGGAGGAAGGAGGAAGAGGAGGAAGGAGGAAGGAGGAAGAGGAGGAAGGAGGAAGAGGAGGAGGAGGAAGAAGGAGGAAGAGGAGGAGGAGGAGGAGGAGGAAGAAGGAAGAGGAGGAGGAGGAGAGAAGAGGAGGAGGAGGAGGAAGAAGGAGGAGGAGGAAGAAGGAGGAGGAGGAGGAAGAAGGAGGAGGAAGAAGAAGGAGGAGGAAGAAGAAGGAGGAGGAAGAAGAAGAAGGAGGAGGAAGAAGAAGGAGGAGGAAGAAGAAGAGGAGGAGGAAGAAGAAGAGGAGGAGGAAGAAGAAGAGGAGGAGGAAGAAGAGGAGGAAGAAGAAGAGGAGGAAGAGGAAGAGGAGGGAGGAAGAAGAGGAGGAGGAGGAAGAGGAAGAAGAAGAGGAGGAAGAGGAAAGAAGAGGAGGAAAAGAGGAGGAGGAGGAGGGGAGGAGGAGGAGGAGGAGGAGAAGAGGAGGAGGAGGAAGAGGAGGAGGAGGAAGAGGAAGAGGAGGAGGAAGAGGAAGAGGAAGAAGAAGATCATGGGGCCAGTGTCCTCACCCACACTTAAAACCACCCCAAAAAAGCCTTTGAAAGGTACTAGGGGCATCTCATGGGGCCCCCTACTGACCCTCGGGCAGTGCCCGAGTACCCGAACCCGGTCAGGTCCAGGTCCACCCCTGGTTGAAGGTAAATCTAAAGGAAATTGGGAAGAAATTGAACAGAAAATTGTATAGTTTAAGGCCAGCCTAAGCTGCAGCAGTTCAATCATTCTTAGTTTTGCTGATAGTCAGATCCTGTCCTGGATGTACATTTACTGTGTTGACACAAGAAAGCAGAATGCACTTAGTGGATCAAAGCGGTTAGAGTCAGTTTTTATTTTATGTATAAAAGTGGATCCGCTGCTTGTAGAGACCGGATTCTGCACACCGGACCACATATCTCAAACATCAGAGGCCAGAATAATGCAGACATTACAGAACAGCAATAATACTATGGAATGTACAGCAAATCAGCCAAGTCTGATATTTAAAAGGTCACCTCCAGCTTTAGGGCAATTTTCTTTAACCGCCGCCCTACCGCCATATTGTAAACTAAACAACAGGGAGGTAGATGTCTATTTTTGGAGCGCTGTTTATATGCAGCGCTTTAGAAATGGCCTTCACGTGTCCAGTGTGCCTGTTAAAGGCTGTGAACTGAACCAACATTGGATGAGTCAATGTACAGAGGCGATCTGAGCACCTCTGTGCCATGTGATCATTAAAATGACCAATCACAGTAATCATAAGTGTACTGTTTACATCAGAGACCCTGCCCCTTGCTAATAAAGGCATTGTCATTCATTAGTTCCAGGGCACAAGCAGCGGCAGACTTGGGGTAGGAGGGGGGGGGTTGATTCTGGGGTCTTTTATTTTTTATCCCATTTACCCCTCCTCCTCTGTACAGCTTAGCTCCCTCCTGTCTCCAATGATTTGTATATTAACCCCTCACCTCCCTTACCCTGCACCTCTGCACATTAACCCCTTCAACTCCATCCTCCCAGTGTGTGAGACCAGTAAATTAACCCCTTCACCTCCCCCTCTCTCTGTGTACCATTACCAAGCTCCATGTTTTAACCCTCTCAGTACCAAAATTGGTCTTCATACCCAAAATATTGCGGCAAAATGTAACCTTCCGTTGTCTACTTTCTTACTTTCATCACATGCTTGATGAAGGGTATGACGGGAGTCACTTTGGGTGGGGTGCCCATGGAACCCAGCCCACTTTGGAGAGGTGGGGAAACCCCTGTCTCAGCTCCCCATATCCCTCTTATGTGTAAGTCACCCTGTGCCTGTTAGGGGTAAAGGGTGATCTGTCCTAATACTGGGGTGGGGGTTGTGGATTGTTTAATGCCATGTTGTTGCATCCCATTGTTCTATTGTTTGTCTTGCTTGGGAGCAAACTATTATAAGATGTATGTGTTTATGTGTATTAGCTTAATGAGGGGGGGCTCCAGCAGCCCTCCCTCCTGATGGGACTGTCTACTGGTGTGAAGTTTGAATACCTGTGTGCAGGGGCGGACTGACCATTGGAGCACTCGGACACTGCCCGGAGTCAGTAGGGGGCCCCATGAAATGCCCCTGGTACCTTTTTGATAGGCTTTTTTGAGTGTGGGCAAGGACACAGGGGCCCCATGATCCCCTATTGCCTGGGGGCTCCATGAGTTGTCAGTCCGCCCCTGCCTGTGTGTCTCTTTTTGCTAAGTCCAGATTGCCCCACCCTGTGTCATTATGGAGGAAGGGGGGATTGTCCCCTGAGTGTATAAAAATCCAGTTCGAGTTTCAAATAAAGAGTTCCATGTTCAGACAGACTGGTGTCGTCTAGTCTTGTATGGTCAGCTGTGGTATCTGTTGTCGGTGTTCGCACGAGGAAACGGTATTCTGACGGAAGTACCCAAGTGCAGTCTGGGGTCAGTTCAGTTACAAAGGGGTGTTACGTGACTCCGGAACATTACACTCTCATTTGTAATGTGATTATACTTCAATAAAGTCGTATGGACTCAATCCGAACATCTGTGTTGGCAAATATCTACACTACTTAGCAAAAAGGGGTCATTTCATTTGTCTTGGTCTTTTTGGTGTGCTTTATAACAGTAAGTATGGGAAACAGTTATTTCCCCCTCCAACATTTTTGGGCTTTTTTTTTTCCCTTTAAGTAGTCAAAAATGTAAAAACCCAGTGATTGCTATAATGAAGAGATACTACAGGCTGATATTTAAGTGGTTAAGCAACAACCCCTCTCACACCCATTACCCCAAGTACACCCTGTGAGGTCCTGAAGGGCTCTGGTAAGTACTTACTTGAGAACTTGGAGAACAGTAGGGGAGACGGAAGTGGTCGGTCGTACAAACTCCTCCTCCGCTGAGTGTCCCAAGCTGTACCTGAGAGTAGTAAACTGGTTGTAGGGAGATTCCTGAGGACTGTAACCGTGTCTTTATCACCTCCAGGGGACATGTGACAATGGCTCCGACTGTGCCAGCACATCTGGGGAGAACAAACAAAAAAACGGAATGTTACCACAAAGCTAAGAAAAGGAAAGAGGAAAAAGGAGGAAAGGAAAGAGGAAAAAGGAGGAAAGGAAAGAGGAAAAAGGAGGAAAGGAAAGGAGGAAAAAGGAGGAAAGGAAAGAGGAAAAGGAGGAAGGAGGAAAGGAGGAAAGGAAAAGGAGGAAAAAGGAGGAAAGGAAAGGAGGAAAAAGGAGGAAAGGAAAGGAGGAAAAGAGAGGAAAGGAAAAAGGAGAAAAGGAAAGGAGGAAAAAAGGAGAAAGGAGGAAAAAGGAGGAAAGGAAAGGAGGAAAAGGAGGAAAAGGAGGAAAAAGGAGGAAGGAAAGGAAAAAGGAGGAAAAGGAAAGGAGGAAAGGAAAAGGAGGAAAAAGGAGGAAAGGAAGGAGGAGGAAAGGAAAAAAGGGAAAGGAAAAGAGGAAAGGAAAAGAGGGAAAGGAAAAGAGGAAGGAAAAAGAGGAAGGAGGAGGAGGAAAAGAGGAAGGTGTGCCAGCACACCTGGGGATACCAAACAAAAAAACGGAATGTTACCACAAAGCTAAGAAAAAGAAAGAAGATAAAGAGGAAAGGAAAAAAGGAAAAAGGAAAGGAAAGAGGAAAGGAAAAGAGGAAGAGGAAAGGAAAAAAAAAAGAGGAAGAAGAGGAAGGAAAAGGAGGAAGAGGAAGGAAAGGAGGAAGAGGAAGGAAAGGAGGAAGAGGAAGGAAAGGAGGAAAAAAGGAGGAAGGAAAGGAGGAAAGAGGAAGGAAAGGAGGAAAGAGGAAGGAAAGGAGGAAGAGGAAGGAAAGGAGGAAGAGGAAGGAAAGGAGGAAGAGGAAGGAAAGGAGGAAGAGGAAGGAAAGGAGGAAGAGGAAGGAAAGGAGGAAGAGGAAGGAAAGATGGGAGGAGTAAAAGATGGAAGAAGAAAGGAGAACAGAAGGAGTAGAAGGAGGAAAAAGTAAGAAGATCTCGCTGTAGACTAAAGAGAAGTTATATCATGCTAAATAGAAAGTCGGCACACAATGACTGATCCTCCCTACTTATTTTTTTTTTTTTAATGATACCTTCATTGTACAGTCAAGTCAAGACAGAGGTGCTAACGCGTTTCGGCTGATAGCTATGCATAAGGCTACAGTGGATGAAATGCATTAGTTCATGCCTAAACTGTAAGCTGAAGATAGAAGAAAACAAGTATTGCAAATCAGCCACCATATGCAGACTTTCTTCAGTGTGGATTATTGCTTAGCCTGCAGGAGCACAGGTGTCCCTTGGTGATGGAATAAGAAGGTTTGAGCATTATCATTTGGTGACTTACTATATCCCGCCGTATGCCTAAAAGAGACAGATCACGCCATAAGCAAGGTATATCACACAATACACCAAAGAGGTATATCACACCATATGTTAAAGAGAAAGTATATCACACTGTACGCCAAATAACCTTCGACCTCACAGGAGCTGCAGCAATCTGGCGCCAAGCAGACCAGCGATTACATATCTCACCAACAGCTTGTTTCCAAGTCTATCAAAACACCCTAAATAGCACATGTTATCCCGATGATACACAATTATATTACTGAGAAGCTTGCTTGCAGACACTGAGCAAAATGGCCAATTATCACGTGATCTGATTTTATACCTGTGTGAAGGGGAAAAGAAAGCCCATCCTTGTCCAGAAAACCCCCAAATCCCAGTTGCTGTTTATAGAGAACAGAGTGGTAACCAATATGGGGATTACCATGGTTAGGTGGTTACTGGAAGTGTTACTGGACCCTACAGCTAAAATAAACTTTTCAGCATGATCAATAAAGCAACACCCTGTGATTTTAATTAAAAACAATGTTTGCTTCCTTTTTGCGTTCTCACCATGCTATCCAAGGAAGAGCTTTTTACAAATTTCCAGTTTTGGGGTACGGGTAGAGGAGGTCTATCATGGTCACATGCACGGTTCTACACAGACTGCATTTCTCAAGATCCATTGCTCCTGCATACAGCAAAGCATGCCCATGGTAATTCATTTGCAGTGCTGGTACCTCCCATACGGGATGAATAGCGTGAGCTCTTTTTCTGGTCTCCATGTCAATCACGTACCCCCATAGGCAGGGCTGTGTTCACATAAAAAAAAAAAAAAAAAAAAAAAAACAAGGGGAACAGCTCTTACATACTGGCACTTAATGCACAAATATGTAAGAATATAGCTCACATCAGGAACGCACTGCTGAGGAGGGTGGCTACATTCCACAGAGTAGGACTGTATAGACCCAGTGTAGTCACTGTGCTAAGGTGGGTGGGGTGGCTACATTACATAGAGTAGGACCCTATAGAGCCAGTGTAAGTCACTGTACTGAGGAGGGTGGCTACATTCCACAGAGTAGGACCCTATAGAGCCATTGTAGTCACTGGGCCAAGGAGGGTGGCTACATTCCACAGAGTAGGACCCTATAGAGCCAGTGTAGTCACTGTACTGAGGAGGGTGGCTACATTCCACAGAGTAGGACCCTATAGAGCCATTGTAGTCACTGTGCTAAGGAGGGTGGCTACATTACATAGAGTAGGACCCTACAGAGCCAGTGTAGCCACTGTGCCCCGAGGAGGGTGGATATATTCCATATAAAGCTGGACCCTATAGAGCCAGTGTAGTCACTGCACTGAGGGAGGGTGGCTACATTCCACAGAGTAGGACCCTATAGAGCCAGTGTAGTCACTGTACCAAGGAGGGTGGCTACATTCCACAGAGTAGGACCCTATAGGGCCATTGTAGTCACTGTACCAAGGAGGGTGGCTACATTCCACAGAGTAGGACCCTATAGAGCCATTGTAGTCACTGGGCCACGGAGGGTGGCTACATTCCACAGAGTAGGACCCTATAGAGCCAGTGTAGTCACTGTACTGAGGAGGGTGGCTACATTCCACAGAGTAGAACCCTAAAGGGCCAGTGTAGCCACTGTACCAATAAGGATGGCTACATTCCACAGAGTAGGACCCTATAGAGTCAGTGTAGTCACTGTGCAGAGGAAGGTGGCTACATCCTACATATAGTGGGGACCGTGTATCAGCGTAGCCACCCTGAGAAAAGTTTTTACCTCCAAATTCAGCTTTTACATACTGGCACGAACGCACTGCTGAGGATGGTGGCTACATTCCACATAGAGCAGCACCCTATAGAGCCTGTGTAACCATTGTGCCAAGGAGGGTGGCTACATTTCATATAAAGTAGGACCCTATAGAGCCAGTGTAGCCACTGTACTGAGGAGGGTGGCTACTTCCCATGACCATGAGTCAGCATAGCTACCCTGAGAAAAATGTTTAGGTTCAATTTTCTCCATATACTTTCTAACTTTGGTATTCCAAGGTTTCCAGATGACCACATATGAAGATATGGAATATTAGATTCGTTTTTTGTGTTTCTTTACACTCGCATCGCAGCCCAGATGCCCTGATCTCAGTTGCCAAGCGCATTATCTGCGAAGAGTTTAATCCTGCCTGTGTTTCTGAATACTTTGGTTTCCATCCAAAATCTTAAACATATATTGGTCCATTAAGCACTTTTATGTAAACTGTCCCCAGGTGACTACATATCAACCCCTCTGGGTAGACAGGGACTGCTATAAAAACGGTCCATGCTTTCTGTACAGTATATCTGTAGAATTGGCTGCCGCCATGTATGAACAAAATATCATGGGACATAAATGATCATTATTTGCCAGTTGTCATCAACAAGTGTGTATTACACAAAGCAACCAATCAGTTTCTTCCTTTCACGCTCTCATACTTAACCTAAGGAGGAATCCTATTGGTTGCTGTGCATAACACAGCTGCTCTTGCTTTAGTCACATTAATGTGGTTGTAAACCCTTCCATATACCCTGTGAAGCGACTGGCCTCAGGTGATGCACAGAGATGGAACAAATCCTCCTACATATGTTGTACCTGTTTATCTGCAGTCTTCTCTTCTCTACATCCATTCAAAGTACAGATTTTACACAGGATCGCTCAGCTTTGAAAACCAGGGGACGGGGAGCTGAAGTTACATCACTAAACAGCTCTGAGCCCCTACTGGAGGGAAGAGAACCCCCCTCCCCCAGCGCACAGAAACAGAGCTGAGGCTGTCAATTGGCTATCCATCCCCTGTCACCCTTTTTCGCTTGGTATCAAGAAAACTTGTCAGAAGTGACTCATGCAAATAGCAGAGGAAGGAGGCAGCAAACAGAAATGACACTTAGTGCTCTGGATTGAGACAAAGTACACACTATAGAGGGATATGCTTTGTTCATATTTCATGTCTGAGGTTTACAACCACTTTAATAAAAGGATGCGTGCTCTATTACATTTATACACATTATAAAAAGAACATTTGGTTGACCCACCTGTGCCTACTTACACAAGATCATAATGGAGAATACTTGCATATACAATATATTGCCAAAAGTATTGGGCCAGCCCTCCAAATCATGTGATTCAGGTGTTCCAATCATCTCCATGGCCACAGGTGTATACAATCAAGCCCCTAGGCATGCAGACTGCTTCTACAAACATTGGTGAAAGAATGGGTCGCTCTCAGGAGCTCAGTGACTCCAAGCGTGGTCCCGTGATAGGTTGTCACCTGTGCAATAAGTCCATCCGTGACATTTCCTGGCTACTAAATATTCCACGACCAACTGTTAGTGGGATTATAACAAAGTGGAAGCAACTGGGAACAGCAGCAACTCAGCCACCAAGTGGTAGGCCACGTCACATGACAGAGCGGGGTCAGCGCATGCTGAAGCGCACAGTGTGCAGAAGTCGCCAACTGTCTGCAGAGTCAATAGCTAAAGACCTCCAAACTTGGTGTGGCCTTCAGATGAGCCCAACAACAGTGCGTAGAGAGCTTCATGGAATGGGTTTCCATGGCCGAGCAGCTGCATCCAAGCCTTACATCACCAAGTGCAATGCAAAGCGTCGGATGCCGTGGTGTAAAGAATGCCGCCACTGGACTCTAGAGCAGTGGAGACGTGTTCTCTGGAGTGAC